AGAGAGAGAGAGAGAGAGAGAGAGAGAGAGAGAGAGAGAGAGAGAGAGAGAGAGAGAGAGAGAGAGAGAGAGAGAGAGAGAGAGATGAGCCATCGAGTGAAGAGGAGGAATTGCTTTTTGTTTATGTAACTGAAGTCTGTATCTTGCAATTGTAAAGCGGGACTTGCACCGAAGTTTTGTTTTGAAAAAAGATACTTCTTCTTATGTCAGAAAGATACTTCTTCTTATGTCAGAGTCCTTTGTGACGAGTATTCACCATAGCCAAACGCCTGGCTATCTAATTACAAACACGCATGAATTGGTGAATTACATAAACATTGTGGGGCGGAGCAGTGTCATGATGATGCTGTGTGCGTGCTTGTTTAATACTCTTTATTGAAACGGTTTCCACCAAGTTACGAAACCGATACAGATCCCAGGGCTCTATCCCATGACCTGTCCCCTTTCCCATGTACAGTACCAGTTGACCCCTGCGTGTTTGAACCCGTGACCTGTCCCTGAAAGTCGTATGTTTGACTGTTGTACATAGTTCGGTCGCATGGGTTTGACCCGCAGACCTCAGTTTTAGTAGTCATAGGGTCAGTCTAGGTCGTAGCTGTTACAGTTCCGAAAGGTCAAGTCCTACCTAGCATAGGACCTTCTAGATGAATCCTAACTGGCTCTTCGTAGAGTCTAGGAGTCAGTCCATAGCTGAGTCAGCAGAGGGCAGTCCTAGTCTAGTGAGCAAAGAGCAGTCCTAGTCCTATCCTAGTCTCGTCAGCGGTACCAAGTCCCAGTCTGCACCTAGTACAGTCAGCAAGTACCAAGTGGGACTGTGCACATTCTGGGCCCGGGCCAAGAGGCCAGACCACCGGCGAAACGAGTATAAATAACGAGGCAGCGTCCAGTCATTCATTCATTCTGCCTGTGAGCCGTGCGGAAGCGTTGCGTGAGCGTCTTGTGCATCGGAGGTCTGCAGGTGCCCGAGGAAGGAGAGGGCTAAGAGGAGGAAGAAGCGGCCATAGCCGCGAGCTAGCATAAGAGGGAGACAGCAGCCATAGCTGCCACGTAGGATAGAATAGATTCTTTATATCGTGTGTGTGTGTGTGTGTGTGTGTGTGTGTGTGTGTGTGTGTGTGTGTGTGTGTGCGTTTGGGACATTCAGGGTGATCCTAGCTAATGTGTAAGTGTGTGCGTGTGTGTGTGAACAAGTTGCTGGTGGATACAGTTGATCGGGTGGGATTCCTGTCAGGCGCTGGGAGGCATAGCCATTCAAGACGAGTTGAATTTGAATTGTGTTCCTGGCAACGTTCTTATCTCCGAGCTCTGTGTGGGCGCACTGCACCAGTTCCTGTTTGTCATCTGTTTGCATGCATGCTGAATGTGACAAGTCTGATTTCACTGGTATCGGAGCTGGTTCCCGTTGTCCCGTCGTCATCGCCAGAGAGGATCCCGATCGCCATCGCCGTGGAGGAAGACCGTGCGCTGCGTCCGAGTTGCCACAGAGGAAGCCGTGCACCGTTCGCACACCCAGATTGCACGCCTCGTGCACATGTCCGTTGCCCTCCGCGCACGCCGCTGCTCGTCGCGCGCCTACTGTCATTTGCGCGCGTCTGCTTCCATCCGCCATCCGCGCGCGTCTGTGCGCCGCTGCTGTTTGCGCGCGCCGTTGTTCTTAGCACGCTCCCTTTGCTTTCCGCGCGTCGCTGTTGTCCACGTGCGCCGTTGTTCTTCATGCACGCCCGTGCGCCGCCGCCATCCGCACGCGCCCAGTTGCTAATCGTGTGCACTCGCGTGCTGCTGTGATCCGTGCACGCACCCGCTGATATCTGCGTGCATCGTTGCTCTGCGTGTGCCCGTTGTTCTCCGCGCACCGCTGCTACCCTTGTGTGCTTGTTGGTTTGCGCGCATAATAGCCATCGCCGCAAGGAGGAGACCACCGCTCGCTTTCAAGATCGTGAAAACAACGACGACAAAAGAGAGAGAGAGAGAGAGAGAGAGAGAGAGAGAGAGAGAGAGAGAGAGAGAGAGAGAGAGAGAGAGAGAGAGAGAGAGAGAGGGAAGAGTTGGAGGCGCAAGTGAAGGAAAAGAGGCGTCCATAGCCGCCGAGCTCAGATTGGAGGAAGAAGACGACCAGATTGGAGATAAAAGTGACGACGAAGAAGACGAGAGAGAAGGAAGGAGGCAGGAGAGACGACGGAAGGAGGGAAGGAAGGCATAGCCTTGGTTGGTGAGGAAGGAGACAGAGGGAAGAAGAAGAGGGTTGACGAAAGAAGGTCGACGTCAATAGCCAGGAGGTCAAAGCATTGACCGGTGTTGACAGGAGTTGACCGACATTGACACGAGTTGATTGACCACTGTTGACCAAGCAGTTGACCAAGCTGGAGCGTGGTATAATCTCTCCAAGCCTTGGCCCATCCCCTCGCCCTATGGATGTGCACATAACCTTGGTCCTTGCTTAAGTGTCTGTTTGTCTCTTCTTTCTGCATTGAGTCACTTTTTTCCCAGGTGATAGCTTCTGTGTATGTGGTCATAGAGATGTGGTGACCAAACCTACACGAGACTTAGTAAGGCTAAAGCTACGTCTGACGACTGACGACTTGGGGACAAGACCCCCAAGGACCGGTACAGACCAGCCAGCCGGGTGGGAGTGTGAGGCCTGGGAGAGCTCGACAGGGAATAAGACAGTGTTGGATAGTTTTAGAGAGGTTTGTTTGGGAGTCTAGGGGTTCTGAGCATTCCAAAAGAGGTTAGTAGTCATTCATATTTTTTCAACCTTGTTTTAATTCTGTTGAATTTCTTCAATAGTTCT